GAAAAGCATGTCCTCTTTTCTTCTGCTTATGAAATAGTTGGGGTCTGCTCTCCTTGTTTCTTCTTAGGAAGCCTGGAGAGAAGTTGATATCCAGAAAAGAAGGATGTTGATGGGCATGAAAGAAGTGGAGGAAGTCAAGTGCTAATGGTGAGAACAATCAGCCAAGGCAGAAATTGGCTAACAACCAGCGGGAAGAGAAGTTGGCTAACAATCAATGGGATGAGAGTGCACCAACACTTCTCAACATACCCAAAGCACACCTCTGATCTACAATAGTTCAACTAGCCACACTTCCCTGATTCTCATTTTTTATTTTATTCAAAACATTAAAATAAAAACTCTAAAAAAAGAAAAAAATACAAAAACAAAACAAAGATAAACAAGACTACACTGAAAAAAGTGCATAAAAAGAAAAAACAAAACACATATACATAAATTGTCTCTCCTAGTTGAGTACTGATATATTTCAAAAATAATAACTCCTCCACCTTTGCAAAGGAGGCACACAATTTATAAATTTCTACAATCACTGTTTACCCAACACACTTAGTTTGACATCTTTCTACTATATTAAAACATAGTTAACAGGTAAAGCCAACAGCTAAATTAAACTTCAAAACCTTCTGTTAATAATCCATTTATTGTATTTCACTTGCAGAAAGTCAACAATGGCTTCACCACAATCATTGTCTCTGATCTGTCCAGGGTCAAATATCCTCTACTGATTCTTAATAATAAGGCTTTTTTTTTGAGATATTAATTGGGATGCATTGTAACAGTTGGATTTTATTCCCCAAAGTCAGAAGTCTCTGTTGTGTGTATCTCCATAACATTTGTTGTACAAAACAGTCGCCTGTAAATTGTAACATCTCTTTTCCGATTGGGTATAATAAATCTGTTCCCCAATTATCCTCAAAAAGTCAAGTTCATCACTGATCAATTCTATCAATTTTGAGTCTTTAGAATCCTTACTTTTCTTGGAGCCCTCTAACTAACTTGCATTTTCCAAGTCCACCTCATCTTTCAGGTATGCCAGCAGCAAATTACATTCTAATCCATCTAATTGTAAATGTTGTTTTAGCACTGTTATTTGCATCTGGTTAACAACTTCTAAAAACATTGTTACTTTATCAAGCTTTTTATCTAAATTTTCAAGTTGAACTTGTAAGTTGAAAAGTATTCTTTCTGCCCAGCTTATCCAATAAACTTTGTCTTGATAAATTGCATGCATTTTGACTATTTTGATATAGTCCAAAATACTTAGTAGTTTAACTTTTACAGCTGAAACTTTTACAGCTAGTCATAAACAGCTCCTTTCAAAGATAGGAAAAGTATCGTAACAGATTAGTCCAGAGATGGCAAACCTTTTAGAGACCGAGTGCCCAAACTGCAACCCAAAACTCACTTATGCATCGTCGGGTGCCAGGTGGGCGTGGCCCATTGGGTATGTGTGCCCAATTGGGTGGGCGTGGCTACGGTGGTAATGGCAAACTGGGTGGGACTAAAAAGTTCAATCAATCAATTCCAACTTTGCAAGATCTTTTTTTCCCACAAGAAGTTGAAATTGACTGATTGATTGAACCTTTTTTTTTTTGCACATGGCGGCGAAGGCCTAAAGCGAAAAGGTTTTATAAAACCCAGCTGAAGGCCTAGGACTGGGGCGACGGCACGCGTGCCCATTGAGAGGGCTCTGAGTGCCGCCTCTGGCACCCGTGCCATAGGTTCGCCACCACTGGATTAGTCTCAAAAACCATCGTGAAGAGCTTTCAGCAAGAGAGATTTCTGACAGAAATTTAAAAAAAATAAGACCAGAATTTTTTTAAAAAAATACAAAATTCCTGTAGTGAAAGTTTGATACTAATGTAAATCGAATCATTTTTTTCCTCATTATCCAAAACTTGCTGAGTCTTCCATGTGGAAAAGAAGTGATTTACAACAGCTAATAAAACAATAAAAAGAACATAAATAAAACCTTTAAGATTCAGTAAATTAGATCAACATTCAATCAATCAACATTTGAAAGTAAACATCAAAAGGTAAAAATGTTCTGTTAAAACCCAGGCGTTCTTATAACAGCAGATAGCTGGAAAGGAAAAGATGGAGACTTTACCCTCTGACTCCTCCCACTGAGAATTACTACCTTCTAGTTCCTCTTCTAGGGAAGGTTCATAGTCATCCAATGGCCATCTTGACTCATTCCTAGTAGCTCCAGTTCAAAGTGTGCTGTCAAAGAACCAGCTTTGGCAAAAAAACCAACTGTCCATCAGCAGGAAAAAAAAGCCCCTGCTGAGTCAGGACACCCTCTTGGGGAGATACCAGCTGGCCACAGTTCCAAGATAATGTGTAATAAAGCATTATAAATTTTATACACATTGAAGCTATGATGGAAGAGTGTCAACTTAGAAAGGAAAATACTTCTTTTATTCCAGTGTACCTAAGTCTCACTTGGCTCCTGGGCATAGAGTAACGGCAATTTCACAATGGTACTGTCAGGATATGGTTGTATTGTGGTTAAGGGTGAGCGGGACCAGGGTTTAAAATTAAGAAGAAGATCCCTTAATCATTTTCATTAATAATATTTTGTATTGTTTTATCCTGTCAATTCTAGAAGAATGATGTTGCTTGGTCATGAGTAGCTTTGCTGGAGAAAACCCAAACCAGAGACTTATTTTACAAAAGTGGGGAGATAGGCTGCAAGAATTTCCACCAACTTAGTAGTTCCAGTTGAAAACAACAACAACAACTGCTCCTCCCAAACATGACTTTGTTATAAACATTGAAGAAAAATCTGTTTGAAGATTCAACTCTAGTTTATAATGCAGGGTTTGGACATAGTCCCTCAGTTGCCTTTTCCCCCTACATCCAGTGAAAGTTTGAGCATCAAGTAGCAGCCAACTGTACTCTTTCATAGGTCTCAATTGTACATTTACAAGTGTTGTCTGCTCTTGGTCCCCAGAGAGACACATCAGCTATAGAGCAGTGATTATTCTGGAGTATATATTGCTGCCCTATTTAACAAAGCGCCATTACATTTTTACCATTCAACATACGATATTTACAATTTCAAAATGTAAAATCACAACTTGAATCAAAATTCATGCCATGTTTTAAACAAATAAACTACTTTTCATTCTCTCCACAGTTGCTATCAAAATATTGCCAAAGGAGGAATCCTCACAACTGTAGATGTTTCACAGTTGACATTTCTGCAAGCATGTCTGTACAACATTGTAATAATATTCCTTTTGCTTATCATTCTGCAAAAAAACCCACTAGATTTTGAGCTTCAACTGACTATGCAGTGCATTTGCCCACCAAGTTTGCACTATCACTACCTGGAATAAATATGAAAGATTAATTAAAAATAAGCTTATTTCCTCCCATGTATGAGTGCCAATAGCACAGACAGGTAGCGTCTCTAATTAATCAATGCTTCATAAATTATGTTACACTGCAGATAATCTACTAGAGCTGTATAATGTTTTGGACAAAACATTTCTTGGAGGTTGCTTTGTAAGGCCACATATCCCTGTTTCTATGAAAGAAAATCTGTGCATCTCTAGGGACAGTTTGGTGTAGTGGTTAAGGCATCAGGCTAGAAATCGGGAGACTGAGAGCTATAACCCAGTCACTGCCTCTCAACCCTCAGAGGAAAGCAATGGCAAACCACTTCTGAAAAACTTTGCCAAGTAAACTGCAGAGACTTGTCCAGGGAAATGCTGAGAATTTGTCAGGATTGAACAGAGGGGAAAAAAATAGCACAATATGTACAGAACAAATTCTGATTATGGAACTGATGGTCAAAGTGTTGAAGCATCATAAAGTGCCTCAGTGAGAATTGTGTTCTTTCTTTTCCTGATGAGCAGAATCTTTTCATCTTTGCAGAATTAAGTGCCTTGCTAAGATGATGACAAATTCCTTTGCCTGTTTTGCTCATATTTTTCAATCCACCTTAATTTATTGCAGTATCCATATAAGGAGAGTCTTTTGAGCATTTCCTATCTTCTTCATACCAAGATAGTTATAGAGAATATATAAAGAGGATGGCAAGGGGTTTGTCAGAGTTCATCTATATTTTTAGCAAGTTTCCTAGCTTTTGCCAAATGCTGTAACATAGTGAAAGAATTAGACTCCCCAGTAGAAGGAAACTGTTGGCTACAAAACAGAAGTACCTTGGCCTGTAAAAACATTTAGCTTTTTTGACATTTTGTTTCTATGTGAATGATAAATCCTTGTTATTATAACTCAGGCTGGCAATAGCAGGACACAAATAAGAGCAATACTTATTATTGGGATTTTTCAAGAAACAATAGAAAAAGTGACCCTTATTTATGTTTACTCTGAATTATGTTTCACCAGAATGAGTAGATTTTACCTTCCCAAAAATATGTTTAGGATTTTAGTTCTAGAATCAAGAAGACCAATGGATCCAAGGATGAGTCAGAATTACCTGTGAGACTTTAGCATCATAAAAACATGAATATACATGGAATTTACATAGAATTTACGTCTACCTCTCATTCTTTTTTGCACAGAAAAGCACAGTCTATGATAATATTTGAAACACTTAATAACAATGAAAATACAGTAAACCTGTAAAGGCACCTATAAATACAAATGTTACATTATATTTAATAAAAGACAGAAGAGGGGGTCATGTTTTTCACCAAAGCACCAGAGGGCAGGACAAGAAACAATGGTTGAAAACTGATCAAAGAGAGAAGCAACCTGGAATTAAGGAGAAACTTCCTGATAGTGAGGACAATTAACCAGTGGAACAGTTTGCCTCCAGAAATTGTGGGCGCTCCCTCACTGGAGATTTTTAAGAAGAGGCTAGACAGTCACTTGTCTGAGATAGTATAGGTTCTCCTGCTTGAGCAGGGGCTGGACTAGAAGACCTCCAAGGTCCCTTCCAGCTCTATTCAATTCAATTCAATTCAGTTCAATTCTATTCTATTCTATTCTATTCTATTCTATTCTATTCTATTCTATTCTATTCCTAATTTGAATAAGATAGTTATATAAGCAATAGAGGTTCTGTACTAAGACCGAAGCTTATAACGAAAATTAATGTCAGAATCTGGCAATAAAATACCCAAGCCTATTCTACTCTTGTCCTGTCCAGGTTGTTTGTCTTCCATAATTTCCATATCAAAATAAACCAACACTAAAGTCACGAAGAGTTTAATTTCATTCATTGCAAAGAATCTGCCAGGACATATGCTGCTTCCAGAGCCAAAAGGCATTAGAAAATATTTCAGCTTCTTTCCCTGTTTGAAGAAGGTTGTTTTCTTCTTGCTGTTCTCCACATAGCGGTCAAATTTATATGTCTGGAAGAAAAACGAAAATGAAAATAGTGGTTATAAAGATACTACGTGGCCCTAAGAAGTAGGAAAAACATCTTTTTGTTATTGTTTATAATACTTCTGGAAGGCAAGTAAGGCCACACCTGTGTCTTAAGCCTTAAAATATGGTCTTCTTGTCTCAGACCAGGCCCTACAGCTCTGAAACTTATTTTATGAAAAGGCTTCCTATGCTTTACACTTTCCTTTTGGGTTTCATTTAAAACAGATTGAATGACTATTCATCTGCTTACTGATTTTGAATTCCATATGTCTATATTATGCAGGTGATGACACAGAAGCATGAATATTATATATTAAGACAAAATACAAGAAACATAATAAAAGAAGCACTATATATTTTGGTTTTGGCATTTGGTCCTACTAACTAAAATAAGGGGAGGTAAAATTACTCACTTCCCTCAGGTTAGTATGACTTCTTTTCTTCGCTTTTGTTGTCCTTGTTCAGGGTTGCACGCCACCTCTCTTTTTCTAAATCTGAGCAATATATTTCTTAAGCACCTTATCATTTTCCTCTGCTCCATTTCCTAGTTTCAGTTTCAATTCCCTGCTTGTTAAATTTGATATAACCCACAGAAGCCAGGCCATGCTGACGGTACCGCTCATGGCATGACCTTGGTATTTTGGGGAGAATGTGCAAAATCAAAATAAACATGACAAGTCAAGATATGCTCTGTAGAAATGATAACAATGAGAATCATGCTAACTACTACTACTACAAACCACAACAATAATTCCTTAAATTATTAAGAATTATTCCAGAATCAGAAATTCCTTGCTGGAAAGCCTTTTAAATTGTGAAGGCAAGTCTAAATGCATTAACATGCACTACTGATTCAACCTTGCAATATGTTCATACAGAAAATCTGGGATGATTGGAATCAAAACTAGAAGGGCACACTGTCCTTGTTTATAGTTTTAGTAATTGATAAAGGGCCCATCTGTTTAAAGTATGTTGCAACCAGGAAATAATTAAAGAATACAGACTAGGGACTTCAGAGTGAATGCATTAAAGCACAACTTACAGATGGTCCTTCATACACACTTATGTGCACTCTCACCTCATCCCTAGTGAAAGCCCATCTTTTAAACTCTGTACACTAGCAGATTCAACTGTGATTCAGCCAGGAAGCCATGTTATGCAAATAAGAGAGCCAAGAATTTGGCTTTCATCTTTTCGTGGGCTAAAGGAGGAGGCAATTGGGGAGATTTGTTTTAGACTATGTGAAGCCTGAATCAGGCTTTCCACTGTAGTTTTTGTAGGTTTTCTATCTCAAATTGTCAGATTGGATTCTTTGATATTTGAGCAGGGGCTTACAAAGTATGGATAAGACTACAAGTTATAAAAGCTAAATTCAACTTTTGAACTTGGCTGCACACCAAATATTGAAGGGGCCAAAATCACTTAACTTGTAATTGAAGTTGTTACAATGATATATCCCACGTATTTAATAAATGTTGCCTTCTATTGAAGGTTACGTCCAGGTGAGGAGGTAACACCTACCCATCATTGGGTCTCAGATATAGATATCCTGTTAACCGAGTTTATCTTTTGAGTTCTTTCTTTTAGTACATCAGTCTTCTAAGATTAGGCAGATGACTGAACAGGTCTTCTACTCAAATTGTGATATTTAGATAAATACGTCTCTATTTAGATAAATAGGTCTCTATTTAGACCTATCCAACTTGCTAACTTGACTTTAAAGTACTAGATATAAGCCATATTCTCACCTGTTTCAATGGTATTAAAGACACTTTTAATATTTTTAGCTATATTTTTATCAGATCTTGGTTTTGTGTTGTTACTTTAATAACTATTGCTACATTTGTTGACTCTTATAAGTTGCCTTGAGAAATTCATAATTGAAATGTGGGCTATAAAGCTTATAAATTTTACCCCACCCCACCCCCGTGCACACATTAAAGCTAGGAACAGATATAGTGAGTAAGACCATTTGGTACAAGTAAGAGTATACAAGTTACAGAAAGTTGAATCACATGAACATTTACATGCTTTTTGCCCAACAAACAATACAATTACAAGCAAATATCTAAAATCCTAAAAAGAATACCACAGTTTGCAAAGTAGCACTACTGGAATCCTACACTGGGATAAACTGTTTTGACCTGGGCCAATTTGCCATCTTATTAATTTATCTATTTATATATTTTTTTAAAAAATCCTACCTTTACTGTTTTTATAAATAACTCAAGGTGGTGAACATACCTAATAATACTCTTTCCTGCTCCTATTTTCTACATAAAATCCGATGCGGCGAGTTAGGCTAATAGAGAGTGACTGGCCCAAAATCACCCAGCCATCTTGTATTTTGGCCATGGTTAAGTAGCAAGCAAAAAACCTTACATCAAAAATAGCCAGATCAAAAAAGCTAAATTTCACATAATGTTATATTCAAAGTACATTAAATTAATGAAATGGATGCAATTACTGTACACTCCATGTACTTAATATTTAAAAAAAAA